CTCTCTCTCTCTCTCTCTCTCTCTCTCTCTCTCTCTCTCTCTCTCTCTCTCTCTCTCTCTCTCTCTCTCTCTTCCCCCCCTCCTCAACGGGCAGCAGCGGCAGGCGCCAGGTCGAAACGGCCGCTTTGAAATTGCTCGGGCCTGTGTGAAACCCACCACCTCAAAAACCTGCAGTGTCTTGTGTCCGGACCTGTAGGCCATGTCCGGTGGGGTGAAACGACACTAAAAAATCACCCCGTTATTTTTCGAGGGGCGGCCAGGACCCGATAAATGTCCTGGGCCGCCCCTTTTTTTTTTTTTTTTTTTTTTTGCCTCAGGGGCCTCCGTCCGGACATGAGGACCGGACACCGGACACTGGACGCCAGACACCGGACTGTCTGGAACCCGGTGCGGACGTCCGGACGGTTACCATGATAAAAACTGACCCAATTTTGGGCCCAACTGGAATTCCGGTTGGACCACCGGGGGTCCAACAGGCCGGTTGCCAGCACAGCCTAGAAAAAAACTCTATATATTTTTAGGTGTAACCGGTGTGACTGCATGCAGTTCTGTGAGGCACAAATGTCAGGGCCGCGACTCTGTCCTTCTGTTAAAATTGGAACAATATGGAACACTACAGAGCAATACAGAGACGATTAACATGGCCTTTGTGCAAGGATGACACACATAAATCGAGAAATGATGCCCATTTAGCTGATTGAGTCGGAATAGTACCTGGGATGGTCCCCTGGGAAGCTTACTGGTTTCGGTATGCTGGAATGTGAACAGATGGGGGCCTTGAAGTCTTGGATGGGGGGCCAGACTAGGGATAGGCGTAATGAAATACCGTCACCAGGATATCACAACCTCCCCTGGTAGCTGCCAGTTCCGGCGTGGTCAGAATAGTACCAGGGTGCGGTCCCTAGGGCAGCTTAGCGGTTCCGGCGCTCCTATGACAGTGCCCACTATAGGTGGGAACCTGGCCTCTACAACAACCTGGGCTTTCTTTAGGAAAAAAAACAGAAAAAAAAAGATCCAAGTTAGAAAAAGGAGAAGAAAAAGAAAAGTACAATGATAACTGAACCTGTGCTTCCTTCTGTCAGGCTGAAGGACTCCCTGCTCAGCACTTTTTGCTCTTTTGAAGAGGATTGAATGTCAGGCTTGCCATTCCCCTATCAAATTCCTCTGAGTATTTCTTATGGACTGTCAGATTCACACTTAGCTCAAGAATTCTCTAAGTTAGTCATGCCTTGATAGGGTTCCGTTCCACCAGTGCTTTCTGAGTCATGCTGGGCAAAAATGGCTGGGAAACGTACTGGGCGACTCTTTTTGGTTTTGCCATGTTATACCCTGTGGAGGGGACTCAGGTGGTGGTATACATGGTTCCATTAACCAGTACACGGCCCTAGCCTTGTGTAAAATTGTGAGTTGCCAACTCCGAAATTCTTGTGGCTCGGGGCTACTGGACCACTATGGCTGGCGGCGCCAGCCAAAAAACGAAAAGAGTGCGCCGCTGGCGGTTCGGAAACGCTTGGCGTGCAGTGCAGCACCTCCAGGCCCAGGTGTACTGGCGGTCTTATCCACAAGAGAAGTTTGGAGGGGATGCTTAGGGGATGGACAGGTGAGCAGGTGGGACCAGACGGGACTTGCTGTCGCCCATCTGGTGGAGCGTGTCATTCTTCATCCAAGACTCAGAGGTGGTGCACCAGACTAGTAGAAGTCTGGCACCATAGACCATACAGAGGAGGGTCAGTGGTGGAGATTGGTTGGAGGAGGTCACCATTGAAGAAGGGTTAGCAAGAAGAGGGGAGCTTACCAGGTTGTTGGCTGGCAGCTATTGCCACCTGAAGCAGACGACTCCAAGGGAGGAGAGAGAACGAGATCCATCTTCCAAGACTTCATTTCTTTGGGCTTGTGATATAGGGAGAAAGTGTGGGACTGGTGTGCGTGAAGTCCTGGCAGATGAGAGGAAAGGTCACCATAGCTTCAGTATGGTAGTGTGGCCATGATGAAAGAAGAAGACTCCATGCTGCTTCAGAAGGCAGACACTTTAACGTCAAGTGCCAACATTATTGTGCTTGCCTGGGATAGGCCAGCACTGTAGAAAGATTGATCTTGCGGGTAAATTGTTTAGATTGGTGGTGGAGTAGGGAGATACAAGCCGGCAGACACAATTACATGGCGAGAAAAACATCTTGAACCTTGTACTCATTGTCTATATTTTAAAGAAGTTTCAAAATGCCTTTGCTTGTCTTCTTCGCACAGTCTTGTAGGTCATTGCTGTCTCAATTTGGATGTTATCATTGATTTGAGCCTTGTGAGCTCATGTGAGGTCTGATGGTGAGCTTCTGAAGTTGGGTTCGTTAGATACTTGCACACACACACACACAATAGATATTGACTTCACAAGCAAAACTGTCTCATTGGTGGATTGGCTCATCTCGAGCATGCTTCATTGTCTGCAATATAGGTAAAGTTGCTGTGACTTTGGATCTACTCATCTGGGCGGAATAGAGGAAGTTGTGGTGATAATTTGTAACACACACACT